GCAGTCACCGCGACGAGCAACAAGATGGAGGTGGAGCCGCAGGCAGGTGCGTGCCCCGGCACAGCAGACAAAGCAGGTCTGCTGCCCGAGGAAGACGAGCGCAGAGCCCAGGCCGTGTCCAGCTGCAGGGAGCCCGTAACGGTGCCGGGACGGATGGGGCGGGGGACCTGAGGCAGCACCTGTTGTGGGAGCTGGGCTCCTTGCACCCCTGTGCGTGACCCCGCATGGGCCCAGCCCCTGCTCATCGCACACCTTCCCACCCAGGCCAGTGTCTGCTGTCCAGCCCTGGGCTCTGGGTTGGGTACGTCCTGGAGAAGGGCCTCATCGGAGTTTTCCTCTTCTTCCTCTTCGTGCGCAGGGAGGAGCCGTGAGGTACCGGGGCTTGCCCGTGGCCTGCCCTGGGCAGCACTGCCAGAGAGGGGGGCTGAGCGGGGACACGGGCTGGTGCAGGCGGGCTTGGGGGTGCTCGGGGAGACAGGTGGGGCCAGGAGAGCGGGGTGCGGGCAGGGATGTGCTGTGTGCAGCGCGGGGGCCGTGGGGACCTGCCCCTTGCCCCACTGCATCCTTTCCCTTTGCAGCTCCTGGCTGCTTTGCCGCCTTGGCCGCTTGCAAGCTTGGAGGCAGCCTCTGCCCCAGAGGCAGGATGGAGCACGACGGTGGAGCGGTGGTGGGCTCACCAGTTGCTCCAAGCACCCCGGGCGTCTGACGGGATCGGGCAGGGGCTCCGGACCTGGCTGCAGCCCCCCCCAGCCCGCTCCCCCCAAGCTTTGCTCTGACCCAGTTCAGGGAGCCGGGTCCCTGCAAGTGCAACGCAGCCGCGTGTCAATCCCCGACCACGCCGTGAAGTGCCGCGGGGCCGTGCGCAGTGCGCCCAAGCGTCCTGCAGCCCCTGAGCTGTCCTGGGAGGACTGGGCGCTCTGCAGAGGGATGCTGTGTCACGGTCTCTGTTGGCTCCTGGCACTTCTGTTTGGAAATAAACCCTGCTAGACATGCTCGCACCTGCCCGTGTGCAGTCCTGGCCTGATTTGAACCCCTGCCTGCGCCAGGACGAAAGCTGCTGCTCCCTGCGGCAGGGGCGGGAGCGACCGTCCCAGGGCACTGCCCAGGGCCCTCATGTCCCCGCGGGTTGGACTTGTTCAGCCTGATGCTGGACGCGAAACTCCCCGGCGCAACCCGAGGGTCCAACCCCAGCCCCCAAATGGGGTCACATCAGCAGGTGACCCCACTAGACGTTAGTTTGCGCTGGGGCCAGCCGGGCCAGCCGGGGCTGCAGGAGACCCACAGAGCAAGGGGCCAAAGCCCGGCTGGAGAACAGCCCCGGCTCTGGGTGGGTCTGCGTCTCTGGCAGCGTCCTGGGCAGCACGGGCCGTGTCTGGGCCTGGCCGGCAACATCCCCCTGGGCCTGGCTGGCCAACATCCCCCTGGGCTCTTGCTGCTCGGTTGTCTGTGGGCCCTGCCGTGGGAGACCACGGTCACTGCGCTGGGAGAGGGGAGGGCTGAGGCTCCTTGCCCAACCCCGTGCTGAGCCCGTGTCCACGGGACCCCGGCGCTGCCTCCACAGCAGCAAACAGCCTCACCCCTGCACGTCCGATACCCTCGTCTCCCCAACGCTCGGAGGCCGTGAATCCAGGCAGGCGCAGCTGGGCTTGGCATCAGAGCTGGCAAGGCAAGCTGACCAGCGGTGGGCAGAGGCACAGGCAGGGAGCAAACATCCAAACAGCACTGGTTTTGCCAGGCACGGGCAAATGGGCAACGTGTGTGTTATAATTAGCGACCTGTCTGCATCTGGGCCCCCGCGGTGGTGGCAATGCTAATTGACTGGTCTAACGAATGGGGAGAAACGCCAGCCACATGTCCTTCCCGCACTGCCCCGCCTCGCTGCTCTGCGCTCACCTGAACTTCCCAGCAGAGCGTGACGCCTGAGCCTTGGTGCTCTGCCCAGAGCGGCTTCGCACGCGACAGGCCCCCGGCAGGGCCGAGCAGGGCGGAAAGGGCCAGGCCCCCATGCCGGAGCGTGCCATGCTGCACTTCAAATCGGAGAGGGAAGCTCACAGAGGAAACAGCCTTCAATTGCATTTTCCTGAAGGCAAGAAGTATCCATGCAACCCGCTTCCTCTTGCTTCAGGAAGTGGCCGCAGATAGCTTTGTGCTCCTCGGCAGCCCTGCGTAGCCCGGGGCCCGGCGGCAGCACAGCGGGGTCCCCTCCCAGACCACGGCCATGGGCACGTCGGCTCCCGGACCCGGCTGGTGTGTGCTGGTGCTGGTGCTTCTCCTGGACACCTGCGGTGAGTGCGGGACGCAGAGCCCGGCTGGGCACCGACGGAGTCGTCTGGATCCCGGCCGGCGGGATGCTCCAGCCCCGTGCGATTTTGCAAGTCCCTGGGTGTTGCTTACTCATGCTCGGGTTGCAAATGCATAGCTGCATGTGGCAGGGGCTGTCCTCTTCGGTAAAGCCTGTCCAGACCGAGCCCAGGCTGCCCGGCCCGGCTTCGGCTCCTCTGCTCCTGCTCTGTGCACGCTGCCTGCCCCGCGCCTGCACAGCGTGCACACGCCGCCCTGGGGCTGTCCGCAGGGGCCACGCCGGGACAGCATAAAGCCACGTCCGTGATACCCCTCGAAGCTGCCCCGCACCCGGTCCGGGAGGGAGCTGGGGCAGGGTGGAAACGCCGGGCCCTGCCCTGGGACTCAGCTCCGCTGGCTTGGGCTGGGCAGCGCACCCCTCACCCCGTCCTGACCTGTTCGCTGTGTCCCAGGTGTCGGGGGCCAGGAGTGGGCGGTGAGTGCATCCCTGCCAGGCCCCAGAGCAGGCAGGGGCCGCCCAGCCCAGCCCAGCCCAGCCCAGCCCAACGCCCCCGAGGCAGCCGGGATCGCAGGGACAGCGGAGGGAGCCCGTGGGGAGAGCTGCTCCGTGGGCTGTGGGCTGGTGCTGCGGCACAGGGCTCTCTTGCATGAGCAGGGGGAATCGCTGCCCACCCCCAGCTGCTGAGATGAGACGCAGGGTGCACGGGACCCGAGGGATGGTAAACCCAGGATTGGTAAGGGGTCTTTGGGGTCTGGGTGAGGCCTCCCGTTCCCAGAAAATGCCGCAGGAGCTGCTGGCCCTGCAGCCGTGGAGCGAAGAAGAGGACAGGCTGGGCCCTGCTGTCCCCAGCCAGAGGACGGTCTGCACATCCACCCACAGTGCAGCGCAGCGGGCTCTGCCGAGCTCCTGCAGGCACCGAGCCCCCGCAGCCCCGGCAGCTCTCCCTCTTCTTCACGTGCTGCTGCGTTTCCCCAGCGCTGCCCCCGACCTCCAGGCACCAGGCCAGGCTGCTCTTTGCCCTGGGGACGTGGGTGCCATGGGGCTGGGCTCAGGCTCTTGGTGACAAGTCAGCCTGAAGAGTGCTTCTCCCTGCAGCCAGCCCGTCTGCCCCATCCGTGTCCGGCCCCGCCAGCAGGGTCGAGCCGGGCAGCCCCGTGAACTTCACTTGCACGTCCAAAGGGCTCTCCCCCGGAGACATCACCGTGACCTGGCTCAAGGACGGGGCCAAGCTCCCAGCCCAACCGCTCCAGATCCTCCTCGAGAATGAGAGAGACTCCTACTGCGTGTCCAGCACCCTGGCGAGGACGCTGACGGTCGGGGACATCCGCTCCCAGCTCACCTGCCAGATCGAGCACAGCACCATGTCGGCTCCGCTGCGGGGCCTCAGCCAGGCCCTGCGGGGTGAGGCGCCGGCTGGGCCAGACCGGGCGCTCCCATCGTCGGCCAGGCTGGAGACGGTGCTCTGCCCATGGGGGCTGATGAGGGGAGCCTTGGAACGGCACCAGCCCCACTTTAAACCATGCAGGGAGGGTTTGTGAGGTTTTCACCCCAGGAAGAAAGCTGGTGAGTCTGCGCCTCCCTGCACCCCGATTCCTGCATTCACTTCAACATGTTCCCTGTCCCCGGGGTCTCTGTGGGGCAGGGTTGTGGTGTGCAAAGGGGTCTGGTGCACAGCTCTGCACCCCCGCGACACACCAGGGGCCCAGCACGAGAGGCTGCGCCTGCTCCAGAGCCCTGCTGAGACCTGGAGACAAGTCTCAGCTCTGGGGTGCAGCCCCAGCGCACACACGCACACCTACAACCTTCCCACAGTTGCTCAGGACGAGCTCCCCTGTAAGGGCTGTTTTGTTCCAGTCTCCCCCAGGCCCAGGCTGACCACCAACTACTCTGGTGCCGTCCCCGTGAACGAGATGGTGGCGTTCACCTGCAGCCTGGTGGGGTTTTACCCCAATGTGGCGAGGCTCACCTGGATGGAGAATGGGAATGAGACCGGGCCAGAGAAGTCCCCATCCCCGACGGAGAACCCGAACGGGACCTTCTCGCTGACGAGGACCCTGGAGGTGAGGGCAACCGAGCAGAGGAACCAGTCCTCGTTCACCTGCCGGGCCGTGCACGACTCCCAGCCCCCCGCCAGCGTCACCCGCGTCCTGGCAGTCACCGCGACGAGCAACAAGATGGAGGAGGACAAGAAGGAAGGTGAGTGCCTCCCAGCTGTGCTGGGGTCACTGACATTGCTCGAGCCCAAGGCCCTTACTGCCCTAGCGCTCAGAGCTCAGGGTAGGGAGTCCTGATGGGAAGCACCCAGCATTTCATGAAGCCATCCAGCATCATCCACCAGAAGACCGAGCCCGGCAAGCCCAGCATGGTTCTGGTCACAAACCAGGCTGCATCTTCCCTTGGAATGGACCCGAGCCCATGTTTCCTGCGAGCCTCAGGTTCAGCCGTGTTTGGCAGCCCGAGGTTTCCCTAGGACTCATGGGTGGTTGGTGTCCATATCCTGCATCTTCTGGATGCCAACAGCCAACCTAAGCCCCATGCAGCGTTTGAACCCAGGAGTTACAAGACCTCTGGCTTCTTTCCCTGTTTGGACCATCAAAATTCCTTTCCTTTTGCAGCTCCTGGCTGCTTTGCCGCCTTGGCCGCTTGCAAGCTTGGAGGCAGCCTCTGCCCCAGAGGCAGGATGGAGCACGACGGTGGAGCGGTGGTGGGCTCACCAGCTGCTCCAAGCACCCCGGGCATCTGACGGCATCGGGCAGGGGCTCCGGACCTGGCTGCAGCCCCCCCAGCCCGCTCCCCCCAAGCTTTGCCCTGACCCAGTTCAAGGAGCCGGGTCCCTGCAAGTGCAATGCAGCCGCGTGTCAATCCCCGAGCACGCCGTGAAGTGCCGTGGGGCTGTGCGCAGTGCGCCCAAGCGTCCTGCAGCCCCCGAGCTGTCCCGGGAGCCTGGGGGCCTGCTCCGGCTGCTCAGTCTTGCTCCCGAGGCCGGGGAGGACGGCGCTCTGCAGAGGGATGCTGTGTCACGGTCTCTGTTGGCTCCTGGCACTTCTGTTTGGAAATAAACCCTGCTAGACATGCTCGCACCTGCCCTGTGTGCAGTCCTGGCCTGATTTGAACCCCTGCCTGCGCCAGGACGAAAGCTGCTGCTCCCTGCGGCAGGGGCGGGGGGGACCCGCCCCCGGTCCCGCCCACGGCC